ATTTTATATTTACTACCCGTGAGTAGTATACTATGCGAAACGGGTTCGGACGCTTGGCTACGCTACCCACCGGTGCCAACAACTCACCGACATCTTTACGCCAACTTACCGGACACTGCGGTCACTCTCACTGATAGCCCAGTCATCACATCCAGCGTACAGGAGCTGACCACTGGCCTCAAGGGTCTACTGGACATAGACCTCCAGCGCCGGACATCCGTACCCACAGACCAGACATCTATAATAATAGCGCCGATCGATGCTCTCAAGGGTGTGGTAGAGGACAGGGATCTGCCCCGAGGGCTGACCACCGCCGACGGCTATCACATCGGATACGCCACTGTCAACAACACGCGACACGTGTTGATTACCGGGCGATCGGCGGCCGGTGCTCTATACGGCACATTCGCGTTGCTCCGACACATAACTCTGTATAAGCCTATTGAGCAGCCGGTGTTGAACGAGACCAGCAATCCGTACCAACCCGTCCGGTACGCCAACCAATGGGACAACTTGTCGGGCAGTATAGAGCGCGGATACGGCGGTAAATCCATTTACTTTGCCAATGACAACGTGGTCGACGACCTGAGCCGCGCCGAGCGATACGCCCGACTGTTGGCCTCCGTGGGTGTCAACGGCTGTGCCGTCAATAACGTCAACGTAAACGTGCGGATAATAAAGTCCGACTTTTTGCCACAACTTCAACACCTGTCCCGTGTGTTCAGCAAATGGGCGGTACGGGTGCTGTTGTCCGTCGATTTTGCCAGCCCTGAGTCTGTGGGCGGTCTCAAGACGTACGACCCGTTGGACAGTCGTGTGATTGAGTTTTGGCAAAATAAAACCGACGAGATTTACCGTTATGTTCCCGATTTGGCCGGTTATGTGCTGAAGGCCGACGCCGAGGGCCGGCCCGGACCCTCCAAATATAACAGGTTAGTAAAGTAAAGCGTTTAGGTGTTTAGTAATTAAGCTAAAATGCACATTACACTAAAATGCATAAAGCTAAATGGTTATTTTTACAATTAAATAATAACTGCAGTATTAATAATACAATATATCATATAATTACTAACTTTATCAAAATTAATTGCATATTGATTAACTGTATATCAATGATAATGGCATAGGACAGCGGCACAGGCGGGCAACGCGTTGGGTCGGGCACTGGCACCGCACGGGGGGCTACTCTTCTACCGGGGCTTTGTCTACGGCTATCCCATCGACTGGAAGAACCTGACGGCCGACCGGGCGGTGGCCGCGTATCGCAACTTCGCCGCACTGGACGGCAAGTTTGACGACAACGTCATCGTTCAGATCAAATACGGACCGCTGGACTTTCACGTCCGCGAGGCTATCAGTCCCCTATTGGGTGCTCTCCGGCGCACAAACGTGGCCCTAGAGGTAGAGGTGACGCAAGAGTATACCGGCCAACAGCGCCATACGGTATGGTTGGCCGCGATGTGGAAATGGGTGCTCGACTTTGACCTCCGTCCGGACGGCCAGTCGGCACCTGTCAAGCGGTTAGTGTCCGGCCGGCACTTTGACCGACCGGTGGGCGGACTCGTCGGTGTAGTCAACGTTGGCCGCGATGTCAATTGGATGGGCAATCATATGGCGATGGCTAACGTGTGGGCGTTGGGCCGACTGGCGTGGAATCCGGACGAGTCGTTGCACTCCATGGCCGATGTCTGGACGCGCCTGACGTTTGGCCACAACCAGCGAGTGGTGGACACTGTTGTCGGTATACAGACCCAGTCGTACGGGGCGTATGAGAACTATACGGGACCGTTAGGTGCGGGCAGTTTTACCGATGTGCCCGACAGTAAGTACGGGCCCAACATCATGAGCACTGAGGGCAGTCACGCCGGTTGGGGTCAGTTTCATAGGGCCGACCATCAGGGTATTGGTGTCGATCGGACAGTGGCCGGCCTTCAGGGCAAATACGGCTCGGGTTTTATCGGCGAATATAGCGCTGATTTGCAGCCCATGTATGAGTCGGTGGATAGTTGTCCCGATAATCTGCTCCTGTTTATGCATCACGTGAACTACACTCATGTCCTACACTCAGGTAGGCTTTAATTAGTTAATGTTTACCATGTTATACAATCAATTGTATTCAAGCTCGGTGTATAAACTTTATTGTTGTATTAACTTTAAGCATGAAATAACATGTTGTAATTAATTGTAACACATTATAACCACGTTTAGGCAAAACAGTAATACAGCACATATACGACAGCCATTACTCCGGCGCCCAAACGGCGCAACAATTTTACCGCAATTGGCTGTCATTGAAAGGACTGGTAGACGAGCGCCGGTACGAAGAGATCGCACGACAACTACACTACCAGAGCGGCCACTCTGTGGTCTGGAGGGACGCCATATGTCAGTGGTTTAGCAAAACGTCGGGCATAGATGACAACCAGCATCGGGTCGGCCACTACTCGGGCCGTATTGAGGCCGAGACCATGCGTTTGACGGGTTATGTGAATATAACGGTCAACCCCTGGGAGACAGCGTCGGGTGCGCTGGCGGTTGAGTGTAAGGCCAGTGGGTGTAGGGCTCAGACCGAGTGGACAGGTGTTGCCGGTGTGTATGATATAGCCGTACAGTATTACGACGAAAATGATGGTCAATCAGCTTTCAAGCTATACGTGGGTCAGCGGGTTGTGAGTGAATGGGTGGCCAACACTAGTCTACCCAACGGTAGACCCTGTGGTGACACCAGTACTCGGTTTACAGCACCGGGAGTTGAGCTGAAAGCCGGTGATGTGGTGGCCGTCGAGACGGTTCCCAACGGCAAAGAAAACGCTGTTTTAGATTATATCGAGATTTTAAGACCAAATTAATTAATTTAATAAAATTTATTAATTATTAGTTTATTATAAAACAATTAATGCTTTTTATAATTACCGCCAATTAATTCACTTAACCATTGGTTTCAATGAGTGTTTGTATTCATTAATAACGTGTAACTTATAAACAGGTTTTGGGAGTTATTTTTATTACCAATTAATTAATAATTAATACTTTTAATTATTTGTTTCACTTTAAGCGTAATATTTATTAATAAACAAACTATAAAATCAACGAATGATTGAATAAAAATTAATTTAATATAAATTTTACTCATAAGTAAAGTCTATATTCGGGACGTAATTAATGTTTGACTCAATGTCTCAAAAATGATTTGTCATTTGTTTTAGCGTTTCGTTCAAACCATTCATTCATTTGTTTTGAAATACAATTGAATTCAAAGTTTTAATCAATAATCAAATGAATGATTAATTTGTGGCAAAAATGAGTGAATTAGTGACCAATCAATCGGTGGATCAGTTGAGACATGAGATTCAAAGACTTCGCACAGAGTTGTCATTTGAGAGACAATTGAATGACAAACTCACTGAAGAGGTCGACATTCACAACAAATACAAGAAATTTAAAGACAATCAAAGCCACGGATCAGTTGGCAATTCACAGACACGTGACGTGTCTCACAGTCCCAGCGGTCAGTCGTCTCTGCGGTCAACAGCGACACAAACGAGTGACGGATCAGTTGAAGACAAACCAATGGACGATACGAATGGCGGCAACGAATCAACTGTTGTTTCAGACAATCAAGACTTGGATCCGATGGCAATGTGTGATGAAAGCCAAGCAAACGTGTCCGCAGTGGACAGCATCGGGACATACATTGCGGTCATGAGTTCAGTCGAGTTGAGTGGTCGCGGATCAGGTGAAGGCAGTGGTGGCGGTCGGCCGGCAAAGGTGTCAAAGACATCATCAGTTGTGGACCAGAGTCTCGACACACAACTAGTATTTTGCAATCACTTTTAATTGAGTTTTAATTGTTTTTTATCGCATTTCAGACACAAATCGACGCGAAAGCCTCTTTGGATCGTTTCGGTGACGACTTGTATGGATTGGTGTTGTCTTATCTCTCACTGAAACAACGCTTTCGATTGCAAACTGTAAACATACAGTTCCAGCGGTCGGTCTTCGCCAGTGTTGTGGACATCGATATCACTGATCCACTCCTTCAACACAAGGACTTCGCGATGACTGATATCACCAGAGCGTTGACAGCGATCGGCAAAATGTGTCCACACATTAAGACAATCTATTGTCGAGGAATTGAATTCAATTCAATTCAAAACAAACATATTCTGAGTGTTTTGGACACAATCGGCGATCAGTTCCCGAAATTACAACAAATTCGGTTCAATTGGTTGTCAAACAGAGACCAAGAGTTGGAACTTATGGGCGATTATTCGAGTGAAACAGACGACCAGACATTCATTCAATGTTATCGCTTGTCGCGGCTGACTGTCGACCAATTGGTCCGCGTTTTCGGCGCCACTTCTGGACTGCTATTGGAGAAGACATTGACGTCCTTTGCATTCAAATACCGCCGAAGCGATAACTATCAGCTGTTCTCGCGATTGAATGACAGGCGGTGTAACGATTCCGACGGTATCGATGACTACCATAACCAGGGATTCAAACAATTTGGTCAACAATTGTTGGCTTTACCGCAATTAGATCTTCTATTGTTAGACATATGTCTTTACGGCAACTCATTGGCCGACTATTTGGACAAAATTGGTGTCAATTGCGATCAAGTGATTGAACTAACGCTCGGCTTTGACTCCTATTCCCAACAGAAAGTGCAGGCATTGGATGCGTTGAAACGTTTGTCGCGATTAAAACGCGTGAATCTATTCCTCTCGGATGCCATTGACTGGAAAGTATTGGAACCGTTGAGACACTGCCGAAGAGTAACGCATTTGAGACTATATCTCGAAGAAGAAGTGGACAACAATTTGGTGTTCAGTTGTGACAAAGACTGGCCACGAATTCAATACCTATTTATTCTTCACAGCAATTACAGGATTGGCGTCGAGACGTTGGATCACATCTCACGACTCCCTGATCTGCAAACGCTGCTCATTGTCGGCAAATACGGCACTTATGGCGATCTCAATGATCATCACTTCGAGGACGTGTTGAGCAGTTGTCCGAAACTCAAGAATATCTCAATTCGAGACAATAACGGCTCAAAGTCTTATTGCCGTAAAAATGCATTAAATATTTAGTGACCTATAAATTCAATTCCCATATGTTTTGATGTTTTAAATACTTCTAAATTTAATTGGTTTTTACGTTTTTTGTCATTACTTTTCTCTATTTATTTGTTTTTAAATGTAGTGTTAATTTAGAACACATTTAAATTGTCAAACATTTCGTACATTTAACTCATTTTAATAGTTTATTTTTATTGTTTAAGCATTTCATTACATTTTGTATTTAATTTAGGTTTTAATTGCATTTTATTTTTTAATTCATTTTGAATTTTCATTTTTCATTATAATTTTACGCATTATTTTGTAATACATTTGTTAAGGATTTAATTGAAAGTGTTTTTTAAATTATAATTATCCCTAATATTAGAGCCAAAGTTTTTAAATGTAAAAGTTTTTAATATAAATTAAATGTTAAATGTGTTAATCAATTGTTAATCAATTCAATTCACTTAACCATTGATTGAATGGATGTTTGCATTCATTCATACATTAATAACGTTTGGGTTTTGTATATATTTTTGGTGACAGTTATAGAGAGTAAGCATTGATAGGGTTTCACAGGTTTTACACATTCAACACGTTTTCTATTCATTTGTGTCAACACTTGTTTTCATTCAAATGTTTTGTTTTCATTGTTTTGTTTATTAATTAATTGAATGAATGATTAATTTGTGGTAAAAATGAGTGAATTATTGACCAATGATTTGATGGAAGTGTTGAGAGAAGACAATGAAAGGCTGACCAAAGAGTTGAATGATTTGAAATCAAAATACACTCAATTAAAAGATAATCCAAGACTCGGATCAGTTGTGGACAAGAGTTGCCGCCGAAGTCTACGCGAGTGTCCAATCATTGGATGCGATCAATGGTTTGAAACTTTGGAAGAATATCACAAACATTTGGATCAAATTCATTGCAATCGTGTGTATAATGTCTGCGACAAGAGATGTGTCACTCAGGAGTCGCTCTCAAGACATGAAACTCGTTTCAAACATAACGTTGCGGTCAATAACAGTGGCGGCGAAGTGACCGCCGATTCCGCTGCCAATCAATTGATCCCACAAATCGTCCTCAAAGCTAACGGATCCGCAAATGAGACAAAGAGGCCGTCATTGCGGACACCAAACATCAGCCAAAAGGTCGGCACTTCAGCGCAACTGATCCAAGTGTTGGTTCCGTTGGCACCCGAAGTGATGGTTAATATGAGTCCAGAGTTGAGCCAACAGTTGGTATTTGGTGTCAAACCATCGGCTGTTGAAGATCTCAATGAACACACGGATAGAAACCATAAAGTGATGTCATTTGTGGCCTTTTATGAGGCCATCGGTGGTCAGCATTCAGACACTGAATCCACTCCTGAGCCACACATTCAACACATGAACGGTGAGAGTGGTATAGAGATTGGAGATAATCTCAAAGAGAAGATTTCGGGTTCAAAAGGATCCACTGTTTCTCCGCGTAAAGTGACCATCGATTTGGACAATTCAGACACCAGTGACGAAGACATCGATGAATATAGCGATGCAATCGATGGCCAATCGGCGGCTAAACCACTGCACTGTGCGGTCAATGGCTGCGACTTTCAATGCGAACAAAGCTATCAATTGCGGCAACACATGAGTGTTGGACACGACGGCGTCGACCTCTATCCGTGTCCACTCCCGGCCTGCGGTCGACTGTTTCGCACCGCCGATGATCTCGCGCTACACGACTCCGACCCTCACCTCCCGCTCGTTGGCCGGCCTTATATACCGCCGAAGCCGACGACGACCACTGCTGGCCAGACGTCTGGTGCGAGTCCACCACCCGATGACCGGCCGAACGACAGTCGATATAAATGCCATTACAATGGCTGCGAGAAAGTGTTCAAAGAGTTTCGGTTTCTATATCGGCACCGATTCATACATACGGGAGAAAAATCACTGAAATGCCCGACCGATGGCTGCGACTACCGGTCCTATCGGTACGATTTGGTTAAGTCTCACGCGAAACGAGTCCATCGAATGGCCGAACACTTACTAAACAGTGACCAATTGGTCCGCTCGGACGCCCGGCTCCACCCGTGCCCTCACCCGCGCTGTACTCAACGGTTCAAAAGGTTGGCCGCACTTCGCAATCATAGGCAACGCTTTCACCAGTGAATTGGTGACCAGAGGTCTCACCGACCGGTCATTATGTGTGTTATTATTAGTAGGTTTTGGTCACAAATGTGTTCATTATTTGTATCATTTGTTTAATTAGTTTTTAATTCAATTTTTCAATTAATTTACAATCGATTTACCGGTTTATAAAATGTGATTTTAAATGTAATAATAGTTTAGATTTAATTAGATTTATGTAGTTTTAATGTTTTAATATACTTTATGTATGTTTTTTATCAATGAAATTAATAATAAAAATTGTTAATTGCAATCAAAATCTGTATTTAATTACTGTAACCAACGATTCAATGGTTGTTTGCATTGCATTTGTAATCATTGATAGGGTTTTGTAATGTTTTACTCATTTTGTGGACGTTTTCTATGTATTGATTCAAATGTTTTTGTTTTCATTCAATAATTTGTTTTGAAATTACAATTGAATTAAAAGTTTTCATTTAACTATCATTTTATTGATTAATCCATTTGTGACCAAAATTATGTGTGAATTAGTGATCAATGATTTGGTGGAAGAGTTGTACGAAGAAAACCAACGATTGACCGAAGAGTTGAATGAATTGATGCGACAATTGAGAGATAATGCAAGACTCGGATCAGTTGACAGCA